GACGAGATCCACTATCTAATCTTATCATATCTTATCTCAGGCCCAAGGCCCAAAGCAACCCTAATTCACACTAAGGTACGTGTATTACTTATACGAGATTCATACTCCCACAAACACTAACTTTAGCATCGGAGTCTCTTTTGCAGGTACCACCCCCATCTTGGAGCACCAGCGTACCAGTGAAGGAGGCTCACCGATCTTACCTGACGGATCAGCTCTACAGCAAATTTCCGGTAAGAACATTTGGCGCCCACCGTGGGGCCGATCAAGACAGCTCTTATCGGCCACGCTTATGGTTTTCACCAGAAGCCATAGTAGATGCACAACAGACGACGCAAACCACTCCACCACCACGGATAACGAAGCAGCGTTGAGGAGACTAATCGATCAGGTCGAACAGATGCGCAGCAACATGTCGCCGACCTACAAAACATGCGTGCCAAGCACGACACTGACCTAGTGGCAATGCGTACCGCTAATGAGGCCGACCTGGCAGCGCTACGCGCCGAGAACGAGCGAATCCGCGCTCAACTCCCTCGACACCACTCCGATCATCCTCCTCATCCGAGCAACCATAATGGAGAGGAGGAGCACGCAGTCTCCCAATCCCGGACTGCAACTAGGGTCCCAACCCCCAAACCTGCTTCACATCGGTCTCATGCACCGACGCACGAGCCGACCCATGAAGTCAGCAAGGTTCCTACTCATGCCGCGGGGGATCAGGCAACCTTCCACCGCCACTCTTTTGTGGATGGCATTATGGAGACACCACTCCCTCATGGGTGGAAGCCTCTCCACCTCGACCGCTACGATGGCACGACGGACCCAGACGAACACATTGACCTGTACACAACACAGGTAAATCTCTACACCAACAACGATGCTATCTTGTGTAGGGTGTTTCCGACCTCACTTAAGGGGGCCGCACTCAACTGATACACCCAACTGCCTCCCGAATCCATCGACAACTTCGGCACCCTAGTCTGGAGGTTCACTGTGCAGTATGCGACGAGCCGACCTCACCATGTCACTTTAGCCGCCCAGGCCAGTCTCAGGCAAAACGACGACGAACCACTCCGGACATTCATGGAGCGGTTCGCTGCCACCTCGATCAAGATCAAGAGCCTGAATCCCGAGGTTGCCCTACATGCCATGCTCATGGCACTCAATCCCGGGCCATTCGTCGACAGCTTCGGTCGTGAGTCTCCCCGCGACATGGACAAGCTCCACGCCCGCGCTGCAGGTTACATTCAGATGAAGGAACACTCTTTCTTCCGTGCCCAGGTTCGCGGAGAAGGACAACCGAAGCCAG